CTTGAGCACAATATGTATTTATAAGTGTGTCTTTTGTTCAAGTTATCTCCGTCAGCGGGGCTACCTGGCCGGTATGCTAACTACCCAGTGGACCGGCTGCCTCGCTGTCGGTGGAAAGAAAGTATCGTTGCACTTAAAGGTACAACACGAGTAACAGATTTGTATTCGAGTCTGACACAAACTTTGGATAAATGTGAGTTAGACTTCAGTAATATATCTGCTATAACCACGGATGGTGCTAAATCTATGACAGGAGTAACATTACTCAAATCTGATGTGAAGGCAAGTGGAAATAATACAATGATGACTTTCCACTACATCAATCCACCAAGAAATTTGTGCAGGAAGTCCTTCTCAAACTTCTCAAAGAACATGTGATGAATGTTTTTGTAAAAGTGGTTAATTTCATTCGGTCTAAAGGACTTAATCACAGGCAATTTCACCATTCTTGAATGATTTGGAAGCTGAATATGTTGATGTTGTGTATTGCGCGGAAGTACGTTGGTTGAGCCGAGGAAAGATGCTTTAGCGCCTGTTTTCTTTGAAGAGCGAAGTTCAACAATTCATGGAATCTATAGGGAAATCTATTCACGAGTTCAGTGATGAGAAATGGTTGAGAGACTGCATTTCTTGTCGATATTACAGGCCATCTCAATGATTTGAACTACCGCTTACTGGGAAAAGATCTACTTGTTCATAATCTTTATTACTTTGTGAAAGCTTTTGAGGCAAAATTAATCCTGTGGGAAAGTCAGTTGCTAATAAGAATTCCACTCACTTGATTGATGGAGTGTGTGAAGAACTCTACAACATAGAATTCAGATCATTATGGACAATGCATTTCAAATTTGAAAGAGGCAATCGATTGTAAACATTACGCCAACAGTGCCAAAAATGTCACTAAAATGCAGCCAAAAATCCGTGCACCTCGCTACCAAAGTAGACCATTGTAAACTACTGTGGTCAAATAGTGTGATTTAGCATCAGTAATATATAAATGTAATATCACAACAATATTTTAACCTTGATTTTATGTAAACCCGATTAGTTTTTTTATAAGTTGGATTAGTTTTTGTAAAGAAGGATATAAGTTAATTGGGTACTTACGTGTTAGCGCAACCCTCTTGGCACAGTTTATTGATTTTTTACAGATGAAAAATGCGATTCAAGGAATTTTCAAATTGCATCTTACAGTGGATAAAGTTACCTAAAGGTTTATGCGCAAAGTTGCCAGACTTTGGCGACTTCTGGCTATATTACTACGGTGGTTGTGATAATACGTAAGTACTGTTAAATGCTATTTATCTATTTTCTCTTTGCATTTATTAAAAATTGGAACCTTTTACAGAACAGCATGCTGTGAAGTATTTTCAAAGTTACAGAATCTAGACATCAAGAAAAGTGTGCATTAATAGATATTACACGTAATTTTATTTGAAAACATATAAGCAAAGATGATACATAAAAAATTATAATAAGCATTTTATAACTAATTAAATAAAGGAGCCAATCTTTTAAACTTCTGCTGGGATAACTGATACACGATTTATGTTATATGGTCCCATTGTTAAGTATGTATTACTTGTATGCTAAGTATGTATTTTATTTATAACTCAAAACTACAGTTGCCGTTAATTCCAAAATGAAATTGATGAATATAGGATTTGAAATTACTTATTGTGATTATATTGCTTATTATGTGTGTATTACTTATTATTGGACACATGTATATATTGCTCATTAAGTGTATTTTTAATCTACTTATTACATGCGCAAAGCATGAAACTGAAATAAGAAATTACCCTACAGGAAAATAATTATATGGCTTCAGTCTTGCAACCATAAACAAATTTTTTGAAAGGTTTGCAATTAAATGGTTTTATCATTTCAGTAACTGTTTGCGTATAAAAAAAATTATGTAATTATTAAGAATACTGTTTGTAACATATCTTTCTTTCTTTCAAATTCAAAAGTTCTGCTTTCAAATTTCTCTCAAAATCATTGGCTGTAAAATGAATGGAACAAATATGTGCAGCGATTGGATTCCATTTCCCAGCTCGCCTACAGCGTTGAATCCAAATACTTCTTACTTCTTAGTTGAGGGAAATTTATGATATGTTATATCCTTAGTATCTGGATTACATTTTGTTTTTATGTAACTATTATTGCACACAGCTACAGTACATCATGTTCCAGGCATTTTTAATCACACATTTAAACCAACACCGCGCAAGTACAGCAGAACAGCGTCGGCGGGAAGGAATTTGGGTCTACAAGTGACGTGTTAGTGACGTCATAGAGCATGCGCAGTAGCTATCGCTTTAAAAATGCGCGAACCTTATAAAAAAGTATTTTACTGATCTTGCTCGGTATGACCACCCAGCTTCACGCAACCCTACAATGCGACTACGTTCGAAGTCATTTAGTTGTCTGCATGGCCTTTGATATCGTCGTAATGGCATCTTCCGTTAGCAGCAACAAACAAAAAAAAAGAAAAAAAAAAGATAATTTTTCCGCCTCTGTTACTGGTTTTATACTTTGCGAATTGCGCGCTATGATCGCACTTCCTGTTCATTTGCCTTGAAACTATGAACATTTGCATGTTCGATCAAGATGTTTTTGCATACCAAATTTCGTCACGATCGCAAAATTCCTTCTTGGTGCTCGATTTTTTTTTTGCAAAAGAGCGTATATATATCCAAATCTGTAACACTATCTCTTCGCTTAGAATCAGTTGTAGTCTTGCAAAACAAACCTCCCGTTTTTATATACATTTTCTGACTACACTAGTTTTTGATAGACGTGTGCCCGCGGATTTTTGTGAATTTATTGATGTGGCCCTCGGACGTGCGTGGAAGGTTGAAGTCCCCTAGTCTACACTCTAAATTCGAAAGAGTCCTATCCGACTCTAAAGGAGTGATATCCCACCTCCCTCTAATGCCAAAATGGCACCAACCTCGAAAGAGCGATATTTCACTCTAGTAAAAAGCGGTTCCTTTTCACACAAAAACAGGAGTGACCCTTTCTTCGTTCGCTCTTCTTCGATAGTCAGATATCGCCCGATATTCGGGTGAAACCACACACATTACAAGGAGTTATAATAATAGTCTGCTCACTCCTTGGTGGTGTGATTTTTATATAATTATTTTATAGGCAAACTGAAAATTGGTATTTACTATGTAAACTTTATAGCTGATGTATTGTTTTAGATATCTGGTTAATATTATCTCTTGAAAAAAATATTTTACACTACTTTTTAACATGCTATTGTGATTTTAATTATCTGATATATACATCTGTTTTAGATTTGCTACCTATGTGCTTACTTAAACATTTATTGGTGATGAGATTTCTTTCCAAATCTAACGAAATATACATATAAAAAATTACATCCATATTAAAATATTGGAAATTCGGTGTAGTTAACATTCTGAAATACTTAACACTATCACTTTCTCACAGAATATATTTAAATTTTACAGAAACATGGCTTTTGCCTTTATGTGTAGTAAGCAATAAAAATAAGAACGTCAATGCAACTTATATATAAAAACTGGATTATGAATCAAAGTAGACCATCACTGAAATAAAAAAACACAGTTTAAAGACAATCATATCTTCATTGTTTAGACATATAGTTTTTCTTTCCAAATCTAACGAAATATAGATATAAAAAATTACATCCATATTAAAATATTGAAAATTTGGTGTAGTTAACATTCTGAAATACTTAACACTATCACTTCCTCACAGTACTTCTGATGTGAAATTACTTTGAATTCACAGAATATATTTTATTTTACAGAACCTGGCTTATGTGTAGTAAGCAATAAAAATAAGAACGTCAATGCAACTTATATATAAAAACTGGAATAGCAAGATATTCGCAATGAAAAACTTAGTTTTTGAATAAAAAATAAGGTTTTCCAGGTACTTAAAACTTTGAATAAATATTTCAGATATTTTCAAAATTTGATTTGAGAAATCAAAAATGCTTATTTTCATAAAAGAAATTTAATAAAATCATTTTAGATGAATCATATATATATATATATAGTGATATACATTCTAAATTTTGTATACATATTTTAATTTAAAAAAGCAAATTATGCTTATTCACAAGATTTGGGCACGTAATCATGTAAATTGTAAGCTAAATTTTCCATTAATAATCATACTAGTTGGAAAAGTAATTTATTAAAAATAGTTCTTGACAAATTTTATAATGAAAATTTGAATGTGTTAGAACAGCTGATCATATATATATGTGTCAGTAAACCTGTATCATAATCTGATAGATTTAACTTCTTAAAATGCTACTTATAAGTGAATATATTAATACAATTTGTGAATTGATGTTACTAGTAGTTTGTCTACTTGAGCATAATATGCATAAAAAATCGAATAATAAATTTTAATATACATTGAACTAAGAAACAAATGCGAATTTAATTTCCCTTACATGAAAACTATTCAACTTTATTTTCAATGTATGAGATTCAGAAAATAAGTAACCATAAAATACTCTCATGCTATTGTTTTTAGCTCCATATATTGCACAAAATATTGCAAAAGAAATGTTTTTATTTCTTATTACATAATTATGAAGACCTTAAAATTAATTATTACCCCAAATTATGAATAAAATCTAAAATCTTCAGTTAGCTTGTTACGCTTTCTATTTTTGAGAAGTTATATGCATACAAATTTCAATACATTAATCATTACAGGTGAATAAATGCTTACATATACTTTTAGACTATAACTTATTTTTATATATGCTAATTCCAAGTCTCATTTGGGAAAAATAAAGTTTTAAAGTGAAATAATAAGGATTATAGCTCACATGTGTAAGCTAAAAATTCATTTTTCATAATTCTGCTGAAAATTATTATGTATTTCATTTGTTGATTAAATCCGAATAGGAATCATTACCATAACTGCAGAATTATATTAATTTCAATGAACGAAGTATTTTAAATATAAGTGAAAACAAGCAATGCATGAAAAACTCTTTATTAGTAAATATATGTACATATATATACATATATAAAAATGGAAAATATGACAATAAAATGACATTAAAAATATGAAATGTAATGCATGTACAGAATGCAATAAATTCATACTCAATCATGTATTTAAAGAGTCCACACAAGCTCTAGGAGTGCTGACATTATACAAAAGGCTTGCCACAAAATTATAAAAATTTGTTGATGTATGTGCATATTGAACGCTAAATACAAAATTAGTTTTAAATAGAATGTCAAATGCCTTCATGGCATGATTTGGGCATGTTATTAAGTGATTTACTGTTTTAATATAGAATGAACTTGTAATACACACTATAATGGGCTGTTTATTCTGAGCTGGCCCAAGAGATTCCATGTCTTCTATTTCCTGAAAATAAATTTCTTTATTAAGAATACATCCATTACCTATCTATTAGGACAAGTCAAATATCAATGAGCCATACTAGAAAGTATATCTTTCCAATTAAAAAATATCGCCAGAAAATTTGTTCTTCTTTCAAAAATAAGTAATTCCTAGTAATTTTATTCACATAGAGGTCTTTTGCTTTTAGTTTCTGTAAAAATGCAGTATAAATACATATAGGAATATGTAAATATTATATTGATGCAAATATAGAATAGGATAGTCTATTTGTGCATATAGGAATATGTAAATATTATATTGATGCAAATATAGAATAGGATAGTCTATTTGTGCATTGCTTCTTAATGAAAAATGTAATAAATAATGTACATAAAAATGTAAAAAGAACAAACTATATGGAGAATTAGTCTGTCTTTTCCTTATGAAAACAAGTATCATCCCTTCATAATAAACTACTGTTGTTCATAATAAACTATTGTTATTGTAAAGATGTTTGTTCTTGATTTCATGATCGCTATAGTCTGGCTGGAAGTGTATCTTTTGAATTTCACCTTGAAGCAATTTTTCCATCACTTTACAAGTTAAAAAAAAAAAAAAAAATTTTATGTTCACTGTATATACATGCATATATATGATTAGTGTCATGCTTTAGATTTAGATCATATAAAGGCATCACACATATTACAAACCATCTTATTCTCTTGAAATATTTGCTAGTATGTAGGTGACATTCAAATCAGTGCAATTCCAATTCTACAGAGATTAGCTAAATGACCATGCATCATCTGTGGGTACAATAGTCGAAAGCAGCCTGAGAAGATGAATTTTAGCAACATGAGGCCAAATACATTCACTGTTGTAAAATGGCTCATTTTAATATAATCTGCCCTCTTAAAATGAAAGTTAGTGCAAAGCATATCAAAATTCCTCAATACTTACATTTAGCAAATATTAGAAGTGCAGGATTTGGATTTTTTTAAATTTTTTTTCAAATAACAGCCTGATGCTAAAATACTTGCTTTGCCTTTACCCTACAAAAATAAAAATAAAAATATATATAAAAGACATATACTGGATAAAAATTGCATGTGAAATATAATAATTGATTGAAACTATATAAATATCACACATGAACCTTTCAAGATAGAATATGTAGCAAATTTCAAAGGATATGCAGCTCAGCTCACTTACATATAGTATCAATAGCTTATTTACATATACATACACTGCAAACTAAAAATATTATCCTATGAAAAGAATTTTATAGCTAAGCATATGAAATTATTTTTTATGCATAGACTTATGCCAAATATTTACTCATTAATAATGAATAAAACCTTTTCCCCTCTTTCTTTCCAATAATTTTAGCTGAGCAAAAGTTCTGTGAGCAAAACTAATGCTTTTAGGTCATCTCTCTCTAATATATATAAATACACACGTTTATTACATAATGATTGCAAAAATATCATTAAAAAGACCTTTGGCACTAGAGGCACATGCATTTACAGCTTACCTTTATGAGCCAGAAGAAACAAACTTAGACAAAACCATTTCAATTGTTTTTATGACCGAAACATACTGAAATGTTTCTTTTACAATTTTGGTTTCAAATTGACCTGTTTTTGTATTCAGAGCTTGATCCAATCTACTGCCAAGCATAATTTCGACAGGTTCGATAAAATTCTGACGGCTTTTCAAAGCCTTTATTTGTCCTTTGCTGACATGCCATCAAAAATCTGCCTAATGGGAAGGATGCCTCCGTGGAGGTCTTTGTAAGGCAAACTGGTTCGTATACACGGTACACATGGAGAAAACCACAAAAAAGTCCATGCAGCCAGCTCCTTCATGCGATTCAAACTCTGGACCGAACTACCAGTGCTCAGCGACTTTGCCGCTAGTGGGTATTATTTAGGGGATGTGCATTAATGTTCGGAGAAAAAGCATGATATTAAGCATTTGTTAGTTAACAGCCTGTTAAACATGGTATTTAGGGCATATAAATTAAAATGAGCGCAGGGGTGTAGCTAGAGGGGGACAAGGGGCATCTGTCCCCGGGCGCAGGATCCAAGGGGCGCCAAACTGATGTTACGGCATTTTAGAATTAAATGTTTTCCATCCTTGGCAAGCAGTAGGGGGCGCGAAATCTTCAGTTGTCCCTGGGCGCTGAAAACCCTAGCTACGACTCTGAATGAGCAGCAAGAAATATAATATTAAGCATACGTAAGTAAAATTTACATAAAGTAAATATTAGTTACTGAAATCAATTTGGCCTTCCCCCATTTTCTCAAAATTGTCCCAAAAACTGTTCCGTTAAGAAAATTTTTCGGCAACATATTATCTTAGAAGGAAAACATTCTTTAAACGCAATTTAATATTTCTTTGACTGTATCTCAACCATTATGCTTAATTTCATGCCGAGACAAGTACTCGAGTATGCAGTTTTGTAAATTTTCTTTGCAAACACTTTAAAATCACTTTTAGGAAACATAGCACGGAAATCAGACAAAATAATAATAAATTGAGAAAAAATGAGACATGCAAATAAATTTTGAACAGCAGCGAAAGAAAGCGAGGAGACCGCAAGAGAATTCTACCAGCTTTGTGCTTTTGCAGCGTTTACATTTACTGGATTCTTTGCGGTAATATTTTGGAAGATGAAAAAGGGAGGTGGATGGATGGTAACTTTGAATTTCTGTAGTTCAAAAATTTTCCAGAATGCAGTTCCATATACTGAAATATACCTGTAAACTTTTTTCATGTCAAATTTTTTCCAACTGGTGAAAAGACTTTTTCAAAGTACAAATGGATTGAAAAATACCTAAGACTGAGAAATTGTACCATATTGTTTACAAATCAGCTGATAGAGTAGTAAATCAAACTTTTTAGAATACTATTAATGATTTTGTTTATAGGATAACAAGCAAAATATAGGAAAATTTTCAAACAAAATAGTACTTTACGGTATTAGAATTAATGTTTTATTTCAAAAATAAACCCAGATATTTTGTTTTTATATATATCATTTTGACATTTTATAGACCTTTTTATTGTGCACTGAGCGAGGCAGCAAGAACTCTGGCTACACCTCTAACAGTGTTCACATAACTTAGTTATTGAAAATGTAAACAAGCTGTGTTACCTGGGTCTTTAAATCCTATCTAAACCAGAAAATGAATTCATATGAGTTTATTAAAATCAGGTTACTTACATTTCTTTCCTACTTTAAAGGACTGTGGATAAGAAAAGGTTTATAAGACTTGTTTGATACAACAATAGCTTTTGCTAATGTAAACAATTATATTATTTTGAACATTACTTCATCAGATCCTCTCACTCATTTTAATATCACTAGGAGAAGATATAATAACTAATTGAAATGAAAAGGCAATAATCTTGAAAAGTAATAAGTAAATGTCATTAGTTTAACTTTCTAACTATTGAGTTGATGTATATGAATTAATCTATGAATCATTTTAGAATTATCATGTTTAAATTAGTATATATTTCGACAATTTTGAAAGTATGCCTGACAAGTTTTCTTAGAAGGGGGAAATAAATAAATAAAAATAACCCGTCGAATTAGGTTTTTCTCCCGCAATAGAAGGGAGGGGAAGCTGTTTTTTAATTGTGCATTCTATTATCTGTTAATAAAATAAGTTAATTTTTTAAATATGATAGGCGCTGCCACAAATATAAGGCAATATTGCTTAATTTTCATATTATAAAATAAAAATGCATCAAACATTTAGGTTTTATGGCTTACATATAAAAAAGTCGTTTTGTTTCAGTTGAAATAAAAATGTTTAGACATGTACGAATTTTACTATTTAATTAAGTCTGAAAAAAACATGCCTTACATTTTTTAAAAATAAATACTGTTTTTTTAATTTTCTTATTTGCATTAAAAGAAATAAACATTTGGTGTACATATTATATATTGGCATATACGTATATTTGTCAGTAAATACATATTTAGCATAAAATAAATACATGTATATAGCATATAAAGTCAACTGAATATATGGAATTTTCAAAAATCCGGACTCGGTATAGTTTTTAATTAAGAACAGAGTAGACCTGGAACATTTAATAATACAACAGTTTTTCAGTTTTTTGTCATCAGAAAATCAAAACTTATTTTTTTTTTTTTTTTTTAAATAGCTGGGTTTTTTTTTAGTCCAAAGGGGCAATTCTCCCAGAAGGACTGTTAATTTCGTTTTGGCATTTTGCATCGATTCCCGATATGTTTCATTTCAAATTGCTGCCACCAAACATTATATTTAAAGAAATTAAATAATGAAGAATCTGCATGAATGTATGTATGTTTCTCTCGCATTGTAATAAAACAACGGTACCTAGAGCCAACAAAATTTGAATAAGGTAATCTTCCATAGAATATGGGCATGTGGAAGCCCTAATTTGAATTTGAAATTGGTTTTATTATTTGCTTTATTATTTAATATTTTGTAATACTTCAACGAATTTTTGATTAACAAAGTAAACGATTTCAAAGCGAGCAATGGCAAGACTGCTACGAGTAAAAAAAAAATATATATATATATATATATATATATATATATACTCCAGCTCGCGAGACTCTGTATTGGAAATTCTAAAGATATGTTCATTTTAAAATTATTTTGCGATATTGCTGTTGAATGTTTTTATGGTTTAAGTGCGAAGAACGATATTTAATAAATAAAGGTAACACACAAAATGTTAAAAAAACGCCCCTTTGGACGTAATTTAAAATCTGAAGCTTTCAGTCTTTTTTAAAGAATGCAAGATTTTTTTTAAAATCGTAAACGGAAAGCCGTCTTATCAGCTTTATTGGCCTCCCGGACTTTTGAATGTTCAAGCCTTAGCACACCTACACTCTCGAGAATAACAACATATTTGCAAAAATATAAGTTTTAGAATGCTGATATGACCCAGGTAGTGCTAGTATTTATATTTTGGAAAAATTCAGCTTTGCAACAGTAAGTGAATTTTATTGTCACAAACTATAAGCAGAATTTATAAAAAATGAAAGTTAAAAATCTATTAAAAACTACTAGAAGCTGAAAACGATATGACTTCAATAGGAAATTCAGTAAAGTATACGGTTTTTATTTCTTCCAATACTACCAAATAATTTACACACTTGTGTTATAAAAAAAATCAAAACTTTAGTATGCATTTTTTTTTTCCACCGCTGTTCTTCCTATTTGAAATAGGAATGCATGCAAAACTAAATTTAAATAATTAAATTCGATAGCTTTGTGTAAATTGTTCAAAAATAAAAATAATGTTAAGAATTATTTACAAAAAGTACCATCCATACGTACAGCTTTCATTGTGTTAGCAGTACGTAATAAATAAAACTACGTTTACAGCATTACACTCTTAAAGCAAATTTACAGACACCTAAAAAAAAAGAGCAAACTAAAACTACTTTTTATTACATACTTAAATTTTGACACATAAATCTAACTATAATTTATAATAATTAAGATATTTATATTAAGAAATAATTGTATATATATTTTAAAAGCGAACTTACTTTTGGCAAAGGAGCTGTATCCATTGTTACGACTGTCCTCGCTTGAAATGGCGCTTAGCCAAAGAACGTTCTTTGGCTTAGCAAACTTGTTTGGTCAGTCTGGGTGGACAATGGCAAGACCAACTTGAGATAATATACTGTTATAAGAAGTCGTTGGGCAAGACAGGGGGTCGTCCTGCTCCTTCAATTCACTCCCTTCCCCAAGGTTATTATTGCAAGTGGGAAACATGTTCTGCTACCAAGACAGTAAATTTGCTTTGCTTGACACGAAAACGGAGCGAAAACTGCTGTCACCCTCCAAATCTCACCCTGCGAGATTTAGAGTGTAAGGGATACTTAGAGCAGGGTTTCTCAACCGGTGGTACGCAAAGAAGCAAAGTATTTTTAACTATTAAATTCAAAAATTAAAACCCCAACATCCTGATTGAGTTTTTTCTCTAACTCGCAAATTTATGCGATCTGTTCAAGAGTGGTGGTGGTAGTAGTACTTTGTATTTGGTGGTACTAAAGGTTTTCAATTTTTGTTTAGATGGTATGCGTTAGTCCAAAGGTTGAAAACCGCTGCCTTAGAGGATTTTCTACGGGACACTAGCTTATGAAGAACGACATATAATAGCTGCCCAGACGGTATAGTGGTTAGCGGAGGTAAACCGCTGAGTTGGCTTCCGACCCAGGTATAGATATATCCATGCAGAATTGGTTACCAACTCGGCGGGAGTCAACCACTAGCTACCAGGCCGCAGCCCTGGGCATAAAATGCAAAAAAGAGATATACATGTGCATACAAGGCACTTGAGTACAGCAATGTACAAAGAAATATATACATGTGCATACAAGGCACTTGAATACAACAATGTACAAAGAAATATATACATGTGCATACAAGGCACTTGAAGAAGAGTACAATCAAAATATATGTATATACATATAAATACAAACTCATACAGATATATACAAACTTACATACATAGATATTCCGAAACAAATAAAAGTATACATACTCTCATATTGATATATACACCCATACGTATACGTTATCATGATGGTTAAAGTTTACAAGAAGCATGACATTGAGGTACGCGTGATCCTTAGTATAAATTAGGTACCATACGCTGGTGTGCAAAAATTAAGACGAAGT